TATTACCTGGATGCTGGGGAGGCTGAGGCATGGGTCAGCGAGCAGGAGCTCTTCATGGGAGCTGAGGAGAAGCCAAAGGTGAGGGGTGGCTCCATGTGGTGCCCCCATGTCTTGGGGGGGGCTTTGTGCCGTGCCGTACTCCACCATGCTGGGACATCCTCTATCAATGTGGGCTGTGCCGTGAAACATCATCCCATCCCAGGCCGTGCCATTACACGCTGTCCTGTCCCATCCCATGCCATGCTATTACACGCCATCCCATCCCATCCCGTGCCGTTACATGCCATCCCATCCTGTGCTGTGCCACGCCATCCCAACCCCTGCCATGCCCTTACACGCCGTCCCATCCCATGCCATTACATGCCATCCCATCCTGTGCTGTGCCGTCACACGCCATGCCATCCCATGCCATCCCATCCCATTACACACCATCCCATCCCATTACACACCATCCCATCCCATCCCATCCCATCCCATCCCATCCCATCCCATCCCATCCCATCCCATCCCATGCTGTTACACGCAGTGTCACGCTGTGCTATAACACAGCACCCATCCCATGCCATGCCGTGCCGTTACACACCATCCCATCCCACGCCATCTCATCCCATCCCATTACACACCATCCCGTCCCGTCCCGTGCCGTTACACGCTGTGCTATAACACAGCATCCATCCCATGCTGTGGTGTGTCGTTACACGCCGTGCCATTACATGCCATCCCACGCCATGTCATGCCATGTCATTACATGCCATCCTTGCCTGTAGAGGTCATCCCGTGCCACGCCTTGCCATTGCATGGCACGCTGTGCCGTTTCAGGTCATCCTATGCCATGCCACGCTTGGCCATTGCAATCCATCCTGTGTTATGCCGGCACATGCCATCCCGTCCCGTGCCAAGTTGTGCCGTTACACCCCACCCCACCCCATGCCATCCGTGCCATGCCATGCCATAGCCCACTGAGCTCCCCGTTGCTCCCCACGGCACCGGAGGGTGGGCGCCAGGGCTGGACCCCAGTCCCCATCCCACGGCCATGCCAGGTGCTGACGGGCACTGGTGTCTGCCGTGCCGCAGGACGAGGAAAGTGGCTTGGTGATGCTGAAGAGACATGTCCGGCAGCAGCGGTCTATTGAGGACTACGGCCAAACGGCGGGGAGGGCTCAGCAGCTGCTCTCCGCTGGCCACCCTGAGGGGTAGGTGCCACCGCCGCGTGTCCCCTGTGCCTCGGGGCAGCCCCCTGCCCTCAGCGCTGGGGTGGGTGGGTGGTTTGGCTGGAGCTCTGGTGGCGTTGGCTGCCCTGGTGGTTCGCTCTGGCTGGGCGGCACTGCCCCAGCTGCATGGGGGAGGTGGCGGCAGAGGGACGCGGGGAGCGGAGAGTGGGTCCCTCCCCAAAAAACCACCCCAGCTGGCAACACGGATGGGTTAGGGGCATCTTTTCCTGGGTGAGAACTGGGGTGTCTGTGTGCCGGGGCCGCGCAGGGAGCAGATCATCCGGCTGCAGGGCCAGGTGGACAAGCACTACGCGGGGCTGAAGGAGGCGGCCGAGGAGCGCCGCCGGCGCCTGGAGAACATGTGCCACCTCTTCCAGCTGAAGCGGGAGGTGGAGGACCTGGAGCAGTGGATCACTGAGCGCGATGTGGTCGCCTCCTCCCAGGAGATGGGGCAGGACCTGGACCACGTCACGGTGAGGGTGCCGGTGCCGGGGTGAGTGTGGCGATGCCAGCATGGAGTTTTGCGGGGGGGGGTGGGGGCAAACTCAATTCTTCTCTCCCCCGTGCAGCTCCTGCGGGAGAAGTTTCGGGAATTTGCGCGGGAGACGGGCAGCGTGGGGCAGGAACGTGTGGACCGGGTGAACCTGGCCATTGAGGACCTTATTGACGCGGGGCACGCGGAGGCGGCCACCATGGCTGAGTGGAAGGATGGGCTGAATGAGAGCTGGGCCGATCTCCTGGAGCTGATTGACACCCGTATGCAGCTCCTTGCTGCCTCCTACGACCTGCACAAGTACTTCTACGATGGCACCGAGCTGCTGGCCCTCATCGCCGCCCGGCGCCAGGAGCTGCCCCAGGACCTGGGTGAAGATGCTGGCACGGGGGAGGGTTTCCACCGCATTCACAGCG